AAATGTGCCACCCGCTGGCCACAAGGTGTCAGCATCTCACCACGGTGCTTTAGGCCACATGGGTTCCTCTAGAAAACCACAGCCCAGACTACTGGTTCTGGGCCCCAGGCCCTTGCCTGCCCTTGAGCAATTCCCAGTCCCGCTGGGGAGCCTGCCTGGATGTAGTTGCAGAGGGGACTGGGCGTAAAAGCTGGAAGGAAGTTAGGGAGGATCTGGAGCCCAGAGGGTACAGGCCTGGCTTGGGAAGTCCAGAGGCTTGATACAAGTTGGCAGGCTTTTCTGGATGTGCTGGTTTTTGTTTGTTTGGGTGTTGTTGTTGTTTTTGGTTTGGGTTTAATTTGTATTTTATAAATGAAGGAAATATCTGAACAAACAAAAATTGTTTATCTTATCCAAAAGTATCTATCAAGAATAGTTGTGGGACTTTTTCACAACCACGTAAGACTGTGGCCCTCTTCCAAGCCTGAAACCAACAAACCCACAGAGATGAGGTAGGGGTGGGGGTGCACCGGGGAACATGGGGCCCTGCCAGGCAAAGCTGCTCACAAATGGCATCTCTGGCAAGTTTTCTCCACCTTTCTTTCAAAGCCTGGGCCTTGAGGGGCGCCTGGGTGGCTCAGTCGGTTAAGCGTCCGACATCGGCTCAGGTCATGATCTCATGGCTCATGAGTTCAAGTCCCGTGTCAGGCTCTGTGCTGACAGCTCAGAGCCTTGACCCTGCTTCAGATTTGGGTCTCCCTCTCTCTCTGCCCCTCCCCCATTCATGTTCTGTGTCTGTCTCTCTCTCAAAAATAAACATTAAAAAAAACACCAAAAAACCCTGGGCCCTGAAACTTCTTCCAGGTTGACGGGCATTTATATCTGTGTGCTAAACACTCAACGTGAACGTGGCAAACATATAGGCAGGTAGCAGGCAGAGAATCCAGGAGAGAATGTCCTAAGAGGGAAGTGGCAAACCCCTCACTCGAACACACCGCCAGAAGCATGAGCTGGTAACCAAGCTCCCCTGGATGTTAGCCGCTGTGCGAAGTGCTTTACTCTCCACGGCCTCTGGAAAGTGGCACCAAGATTATCCCCATTTTACACATAAGGAAACTGAAGTTCCAGGCGTGAGGCAGTTTGCTGGGTCATTTAGCTAACACGTGGCTGAGTGGAGAATCCAGACCCAAGCTGTCCATCCTGAGGACTATCCTCTGGCCATCATATGCCTTAGCCAAGGTCAAAGCAAACGGCATGCCCCAGCACCACCCCCAAAACACAAGCTCTACCAGGGCCTTCCTTGCCCACCCTTCATCAGCAGGCCTATCTCACAGTAAACTGAAGGAACACATGAATCAAGTCTTCCGAATACTGCAGTGAAGTGCCTTTCCTTGTCCAGTCACTTAACTTCCAAGGCCTTCCAGAAAGAGATGAGCCAGGGAGTCCGAGTTGCACTCAGGAAATACGAATCACAGGCATGGTTCTTGGTTCTTAGTGCAGGATGGCACGTACTTCTCCCTTGCTTGTGCCCCGTGGACTGTGGCCACTGCAGGCACACTGCCTCTGGTTGTTTTTTCTCCTTCCCTCCCCCGGACTCCCCGTGCTCTTGCTGGCTTCTGTGGCAGGTTCTAGCTGGTCTCCTGTGACGTGGACATCTGTTCCTGGAGTTGTTCTATAGTGGCTGCAGACAATGCCTAACTTCTAGCCACTTCACTGGATGAGAACTTGTCTCCAACTGGCTGTCACTCGGAGAAGCCATGTGGGTCCACATAACCAGATTAGCCCTACCCATGCCTTGTTGGGTGGCTGGACAAATCTCCACACCTCAGGGCCCTCACTTCCTCACCCCATCTTTCTTTTAGCGATTGGAAGGAAGCATGCAGTCACCCCCGAGCCTCTGGAGGCCAGGTCCCCAGGCCCCACCCAGTCTGGAGCAACTGGGAGAGGAAGACTGTCCACTGAGGACACATGCCGAAAGAAGTCTTCCCGGAGGAAAGGATTTGTTCAGGAAAGTGGTTTTCTTTTTTAAACTTCTAAAATGTTTATTTATTTTTGAGAAAGAAAATGAGGCAGAGTGTGAGCAGGGTAGGAGCAGAGAGGGAAGGAGATACAGAATCAGAAGCAGGCTCCAGGCTCTGAGCTGTCAGTGCAGAGCCTGAGGTGGGGCTCGAACTCATGGAGTGTGAGATCGTGACCTGAGCCAAAGCTGGATGCTCAACCAACTGAGCCACCCAGGCGCCCCAGGAAAGAGTTTTGATAACTCAGTTCTCAGGAAATTAAGTAGCAGAGAGCAGAATCCTGTCTGGCCTCCATGTACAGTCTCAGAATGTTGGGAACAAGATTGAAAGGGTCATGATCAATTCTGGAGCTTCTAACACCACCCACGTTGATTAGCCTGGCTTATTGTCTGTATCAAGTGGCTGTCAAGTTTTCAAGCATTTAACGATTAAGTAGATACCGTGGATACAACAGTGACCCAGATAGATGATGGGCAGAATGGGTACCTATCAACTTCTGGGCAGGCACCCCAAGGACAGACTGGGTACTTATCAGCCTCTGGCTGACCTAGCAATTGCTCAGCCTACAAACGCCCTCACGTGTGCATCTACCATCTTCCAGCCTTCTCTGAGGTGCATATGCTCTCAACCTTGGTCTGGCGCAGCCTGCTCAGCCCGGGGTGCCTGTTCTGAACCAAGCCTCCTGCCACTGGAACAGCAGTGTGGATGATTACAGTGACAGCCTCCTTGGGGCAGGGAGGAACGACTGTGGCACACAGCCAGATGATAAACTACATCCACAGTGCGTGGCAGAGCTCATTTGCTGCTAAGGGGGCTTTGCCGATGTTTACTCGGGACGCTCCAAGTAAGCAGTTCCCACCCGGCCTGACTTGGAGAGTGTGGAAGTTTCTCTGCTGTCAGCCGTGGCTGCCTTTTGGGGGTGAAGACACCGTTGGGCAAGCACACAGTCCAATTGTGCTTTTCCAACGTAGGACTTGACTGACGCTAAACGGAGGGGAACAGATTGGGAGCAAATGTAGCAGGGTGCTCTGGGGAGTAAGGCAGATGTGTGCACATGAACACACCTGTTCCGGGGAGTCCATGGCAGTGAAGAGCTAAGCAAGGTAACTAGAACAAAGAGGGAAGTTGCTATCATGTCGGTCATAGAGGCAAAATCTTTGGCAAGGCAGCCAACCCTTCAGGGCCAAGGCCTTCCGTCAAACAAAGATAACTGTTTTTGTTGTTTTTTTTTTTTACAGGAGCATGCACACGAGAGCACGTCAAAGCAGCAGCCCATGGGCATTACGGCTGCAAAGAGCCATCTTTCTCAACTGGGTGACTTTACCTCCTGGGGACAGTTGGCAACAACATCTGGACACATTTTTGGGTGTCTCATCGGGAGAGGGGCTACTGGCATGTAGCACATAGAAGCCAGGGGCGCTGTAAACATCCTGCAATGTGTAATTCCCCCAGCAGAGAATTTTGTGGCTCCAAAGTGTCACCGGTGTTGAAGGCGAGAAGCCCCGAGCTAGAGGAACAGGCTTAGATCTGCATTTTAGGTGATGTGGGACTGGGAGAGCCATGTACCTCCTCATCCGAAAAATGGGAACAATAAGGCCTGAGCTGCTCATCACACAGCTGTATGAAGCTCAAGCCCTGAATACTCAGGAAAACTTATTTTTGTAACAGGGCCCTTTTCTGAGCTCTTCTTAGCTTGAAGCCCGCAGGAGTGACTAAAGCATCTGGCACAGTCACTGGCACATAGTAGGGGCTCAATAAATTGAAATGAAAATCACAGTAAAAACAAACAAAAAAAAGGCCCATTTCCCATCTCTGTACTGTTTTCTCCATTCTCAAAGCTACCTTTTTTTTTTTTTTTTTTTTTTTGCCTCTTCTATTAAGTTCTACACAGGCAGAGGAGGTAGTGGTGTTAGCAGAGGCTATGTTGAAAGTACCCTGAATGGATAGGCCTAACCATACCCAGAGGACAGAGGACACAGGAGATTGGGAAGCTTTGCCAAATCTCAAGGGAAAGCCTCCAGCCCCATGCAGTCCCTCTGCTCATCAGAGGTCAGCGCGCCCAAGGAGCTGCATCAGTTGTTGGCACTCAGGCTATGGAAACTGGGCACAGAGTGGGCACCTTGGTGGGGGATGGGAGGGGCCCGTACCTAGAGTGCTATTTCCTCCCAGTTCCTCCTGGAGCCCTTCGCACGTTACCAGGCCTGCTGTGTGGGGACCAAGGGCATGATCCACCCTTGAACTTGCCATCCATCGGAGAATGCCAGATGTACCCTTGAGATGTGAGGAGAGAGAGAGAATACATCGCAAAGTGTGTGCAAGTGCTGGAGCAGATGGCAGATGTACTGAAAACGAGAAGCCCAGAGGCAGAACGGAGTGTGGGCCGGGCCTGGGCAGAGGAGCCAACACCAGTAGCCGCATTTTTGTGCTTCAAGGTCCTCAGCACTCTGGACCGCCTTCTTGTCCCAAGGCTCTCTCAGCTGGAGGGACTCAGAGGCCATCTTGTCCAAACCTCCAAAGGGGATGAGGAGACAGGCCACGGTGGAGGGAGGTGTCCCGCCTCAGCTGCCAGCCCTCCCCCAACTACACGAAGTTGCTTCCTCATGCTCTCCCACCCCCATGTCTATGAAGAAAGTGAAAAGATCCCATCTTGGCACGTGCGGAAACCGGGGCAGAAAGGGCAGCTTCCAGTGTGGATCCTCCCACACGTCAGGCCTGGGAAGGAACGGGGCCTGCTTTGGGTCAGAAGAGGGGAAGGGGTGCCGTAGGCCAGCTTCTCTTGACGGGGGAGGGACACAGAGAGGAAGCCCTTGGGAAGAGACCTTAGGAGCTGGTCCCTTCCCTGGGCTTCCTTGTCCCCAGAGGCGTCCACTCTCCCCACCAAGGGTGATCTTGTCCCTGCCCCCGTTCTCCTCTCCCTTCCTTCCCCTCCAGAACAAGCACGTGTCACATTGCCAGCACTTCCCAGGAAGTGTTTAATCCTCGTAGAAGCTCAGGGAGGTGGGTTGGGGACTCCCTGCCCCCCACCCCCAGCACCCTACAAGCTAGCCTCAGGATAGAGAGAGGGGCCCCTGGGAGCCAGGCTCACCTTTGCTTTCCTTTCCCTGCCCCCTCCGTTCCCCCTGCCAGAGGCCAGGTTCTCCTCCAACAAGTGCATTGGGCCACCCCGCCTCCTGCTTCGCCTCGGTGCCCCCCAGTGCTCTCCCTCAAGCCCGGATCTGGGTCCCTCCCTTAAATGCTACTGGGGCCCCAGGGTTTCTGCAGAAGGAAAGACACAAAGTCTGGTTCACAAGAGGCTGAAAGAGGTGGCCTGGGGGAGCTTCCACTGGGCCATGTGGCCCCTCGGCCCCCTGTGTCTAGGGACCCCCAGCAGTTGGCTCACAGAGCCTGCAATTTGGCAATTCCTCTGCTGTCCCTTCCAGAAATCTTTCCTCAGACCCCACCAGCCACACAAGTGGGGAGAGGGCAGTGTGCAGCTTGAGGCTGCTGTCCCTGGCCCGACGTTGTGGCACCGAGGGGAGGCTAAGGCTCCTAAATGCAGCCTGACCTTTGGCAGGAGGCGAAAGCTGGTCTTTGGCTGGAATGTAGCTAGAGAAGGCACACTGGCTGGCGAAGGGGGCTGGGGACCCCTCGGGGGCGGGGGAGAGGCCAAATGCTCTTGTCTGCAGGGCTCAACCTCCCAAGCCACTTGAACCTCCCCCACCCCCCCGCCAAGCTCTCTCTCCCTGCCCTGGGCTGCAAATCAAGGCACATTTAAAGGACGGAGCAGCCCTGGGTAAAGGCACTAGAAAAGCCCCCATGTGTGCTCGCAACAGGCAACAGCCAAGGAGGTCTGGGGCCCTGGCGTGAACACTGCTAAGACTGCTAAGATGTGGGAAGGGAGGGGAAGGAGACTTCAGTACGAGGGCTCCCTGAATGGCAGTCAGATTCTGCCACTGGCTGAGGAGAGGCCTGTCCCTCACTTCACTCTGGGCCTAGTACGGGAGGCTGCGGGAACTGGGCTGGGAAGGCCAGTGCAGCCGGCGCCCCAGCCGCCCCAGCCGCCCCTTCCACCTTGAGTTCGGAGCCTCGGGGAAGACTGGCTCCCTGGCTCAGAGCCCCTCCTCTTCCCGCACATCCCACCAAGCCTCCTGGGGGACCAGAAGCTCCAGGAAGCCTGGGAAAGAGAAGTCAGGGAGCTGGGGCTGCCCTGGACACCCTATGGCATTAGGCAGAAAGACCTGGACTCACCCCATCTGAGGACCTACAGGGCAAGGCTGGCCCAGTGGAGGGAGGGGGTCTGGCATAAAGGAGAGCAGACATTAGTCAAGCTTCCACTTCATGTAAACAAGAAGGAGTGACCCCTGCCCGGCGGCCGACAGTCTTGCAGAGGCATGTGATTGTCCTGACGTGCTGCAGACTCTCCCATGTGGGACTGAGGGTCCCTGAGGCCAGGATGGAGGCCGTTGGGCAGGAAGCAAGTAAGGGTCCGAAGTGCAAACTGGTGCAGCGTTTGACCTGTATTCTCCATAGGACAGGGCTGGGGATATCCACAGGTCCTGCCCACCGCTGGCTCGTGGCTCAGGAGATCACACAATTGCTGGCCTTGGAAGGACTGGGATTTGTTTTACCTGCAGAGACAAGGGACACAGGCGAAGGGGGATGTAAGTGAAGTGCTCAGTGGACTCCCCTCCCACTCCTCTCCCGTGTATCGCCTAGACTTCAAATAGGGGCTGGGGTCACGGGCTCCCTGCCAAGCTGCTCATCTGGAGTCAGTAGGGCTCCCCAACCCCCCAAAAAAGCTAAAGGAAAGGTTCTCCCTGTCTGGTCGTCTCAGCTAGACTGTCACTGGTCAGGATATCAAGGGATCTGCCATCTCCTGACCTCAGCAGGGTCGGGGGAAGGACCCAGAGCCCTAATCCACAACTACAGTCAATGACTTAAAAGTCTCACCAAGAGGCAGTTTACCAGCAGCCAACGCTGTACGTAGCCTCCCAACTTACAAAGCACAACCAGTCATTCTCTCAGGTAGTCCCCACCCCCACGGCTGCACTTCAGGAAGGTATCATTAACCCCGCGTTACATCGAGGTTGGCGGGGGGGGGGGGGGGGGGGGCACCAGCTCCCCGAGCCAGTCAGCACCAGGGCCAGCGGCCGCTCCCGCCCTCCACATCCAGCCTCAGGTCCTGCCACTGCGCAGGCACCGGGTCAGCAGGCTGATGGAGAGCCAGGTACCACGGCACAGACCACACGTTTAGGGGGCTTGTTTTAAGAGCAGAGGGTGAGGGAGCACACTTCACTGAGGGGAAAGGGGGCGGGGGGAGAACGCTGTTCTTCTCCTGGCCAGAGAAGCCCGTTTCTCCTCTTCCCAGCCCCCTTCCATCCATTCCCGCCCCCTTTACAATCCCAAACAGAGGCCGGCGGCTTCTTTGGTTGGATTTCTGCTGTGGGAGCTGCGGAGGGAAGCAGTGAGCTGTGAGGCAGACACTGACACCCCCTGGCCTCCGAGGTGTCGGGCTGCTGGGCCTCTGTCCTCCGGGGGCCCTGGCTGTCTTTCTCCCAGGTAGGAGCTGCTGAATTATTTCCTGCCCAGCCCTTTCTACACAGCAAGGGTCACCTCCCCTGTGCTCACACCACCTTCCCATATCACTCCAGCTGTGAATTTAATTAAGGTGGTGGCTGCCTCCTCTCTTGGGCCATTAGCAAGGGAGACACTGAGCAGGCTCAACTAAGCTCTTCCTTCCCCCCACCCCCTCAGCTAACCACCGCTTGGTTGGTGCTAACTGGACCCACTCCTCAGGACTTTCTACAAGTCCAGCTGGGCTTCCTTGGAGGCCAAGCTTGAGGTGTTTAAGGCTGAGAGGAGGTAGGAGGGGACTCAATTGACTGTGTCATCCCCTCCCTGAGGGTTCCAAGGGTCAAGGAGCGTGGGTCATCTTCCACGGTGGGGCCGGGCCTCCTCTGATGCAGCTCTGCCCAAGTGACTCCTGCTGGCGTCCCGCAGTCCCCTTGCTGCGGCAATGGACGCAGCCATCTCCACTTCCTATCCGCAGGGGCTGGTTTTATGTGCTTGGCCTACTGAGCAGATGCTGAGTTCCTCCCCTGAGGCAGCAGCATTTTGGAGGCAGGTAAGCAGATCGATCCCTGCATCAGGAAGCAGGGGAAGGAGTGTAGCTGGGGGGTGGGGGTGGGAAGCCTTAGAGGAGCCTGCTTCCTAAGCCTGCACTCTGCCCCCGCTCCTGCCCTCCTGCCCGGAGAAGCTGGGAGCGGCAAGGCCAACAACCCCAGTTTGCCTGGGTGTGCTTCCCGCTCGTTCCAGAAGGCCGACGAATGCCTGCAGGGGTTCTTTGGATGCAGCACTCATCCCATGCCTCTACCAGAGAAACTGGTTTGAGGGTGAATTATCTGTATTCTGTCATTCCTTCAGTGTCATTCCTTTAGTGCACGTTGACTGAGAGCCCACCACATGCAGGAGTTCGGCAAGACTGAGGAGAATCAGACCTGCTCAGCTTAAAAGGGAAGAATACATAAGTGGCCATGGGTGGCCCGAAGGGAAGGTCAAACTTCAAAGGGAGGTAACACTGTAGTAAGACTGAAAGTAGGGGTGGGGGCGGGGAGGCACCCGGGGCACCAGGGCAAGGACCCGTGGGCTCTACCTCCCCATGGGTTTCAAGACTTCATATTCCCCTTTTCTGGAAGATTCATCCTCTGCATGTCCACACAGCTTTCTCCCTCCCTTCATTCAAGTCTCTGTTCAAATGTCCCTTTGTCCCTTTATCAGAGAGAACTTCCCAATGACCCCTTTATACAAGGGTCACGGCCCTCCTCTGCCCTTCTCTTTTTAGTCCAGCATTCACTCCGAAGGGCATGGACTTTGTTTGTTTTGTTCACTGTTGTGCCAGGAGCGTAGGGCCGTGCCTGGCATACAGCCGGCGTTGCGTAGGTATGTATTTCTTGAGTAAAACGTATGGCCAGGCAGTGGCAGGCTACTTAAAGGCTCATACCAATACTAACAGTAATAGCAGCGCCAACAGATACTGACTGGGTGATGTACATGCGCTCACTCACCTAGATGGTGATGAAAGCCCTGGCGAGGCCGAACAGAACCCAGGAGGGCAGAGGGGTTATGACATATGCCAGTGAGAGCAGGATGCTTGCCTCCTTTCTGGAACTGAGTGGGATCAGTTCCTCTAAGGATGCTCACTCGGCTAGCCTCACCTTGCTGTGTGGCGGGGGCCCCGGTTGGGAACCGAGCTTGGGTTTATCAAATCGGACCTCCAAACAGCAGCTGGGGCCTGCCCCAGGCTCCTCAAGAGTGACACTGAATTCTGAAGGCAGCTCTTGAGTAGACTTGTCCTGGAATTGGAGGCCCACACGCCCCTTATGAGCTCTGAACCCTAGAATCACTTTCCCAACCTTCCGTCTCAGGGGCCCAGATTTCCCCGATACCTGGGACCTCTAGCTCCTGGGGGGGGGAGTGACACAGGAGAGCCTGAAGTCCCAAGTCCAGGAGATCTGCAGCCGCAGAACTAGGAACCAGACCACCTGCCAGCTAGGGCAGCCCGCACCCTCATGCACGAATCATGGGAACCCAGGAGAGTTCTAGAAATGCAACTGTTGCTGCAGTCACCCTAGAGAACTCTGGGAAAAGCATGGGCGAGAGGATCTTGGGAGGTGGTGACCCAGAGGCACTCGGGGCTGTAAATGGCCGCTCTCTTCTTCCTCTCCACTGGTGGGATACCAGGGGAACAGTCCATTGTGTAAGAAGCCTCCAGCCTCTTCCAAAGTGTCTTTAAAGATGTAGGGAAATGGCACTAACCCTAACCTTCTGGAGATAGCCATGAGCTTTGTGCAATGCCCTGGGAGGCAAGAGACCACATTGCCCTCTCTCACCGCATGACCATGACACAGAGGCTTGCCTCTCCGCACCTCCTGTCTGTGAAATGTCATCAGGCAGGTGGCTGTGAGTTCTGTGTGAAAGCATTTAGCATGTATCCACCTAGAACCTGCTCAGGGAACGTTTGTGTCTTTCTTCCCCTAACCATGGTCAAGAGTGTTGGCCATTTCCCAATGATCTCCTTGGAGGGGCTGGGAGGGGCTCCAGAACGTCACCTGGAACTTCCTCCCCCAGGCTGGCAGCCCTGTGAGAACAGAGCCTTGTCCAAGTCCAAGTGTCATCATAATCTGCTGCTCTTGGGACCCCCTACATGGACCCAGGACACTTGTTTAAAATGTAGATTCCTACATTTTAAGAGCACAGGCCAGTGGTACAGATTCCTCACTGTGGTTTGGTTTGTTTGTTTGTTTGTTTTTTGAGAGAGACAGAGTATTAATGGGAGGAGGGACACAGAGAGAGGGAGACACAGAATCTGAAGAAGGCTCCAGGCTCTGAGTTGTCAGCACAGAGCCAGAAGTGGGGCTTGGACTCGTGAACCAGAAGATCATGACCTGAGCTGAAGTCGGATTCTCAGCTGAGTGAGCGGCCCAGGTGCCCCTCCTCACTGGGTTTTAACAAGGCTCTCCAGCAAATGCTGCTCCCTGAGATTGGGATCTCTGCCCAGAGGGCCGGTCCAAAGCTCCTCAGTTGAGAGAAAAACTAGAAGGAAAAGGAGTTCAGCTTCCACCAGTAGAGGGCGTAGTGAGCCTTCTCACCACCAGGCAACCAGGAGTGGGGGGGGGGCTGCAACCCCTCCCCTCCCTGCCCGCCCCCCTAAGGATACTTAGGCCTAAAGGAAGGGATTTCCAAAGGTTCTCCCAAGGGCCACAGTTGGGCTTGCAAACATTTGCATGCTGTTTGACAACTATATACTTCTTATCAAGCAATTTTACAGGCTGCCAGCACTTAGCTTTCTATTTTTCTCTTCCACCCACCCTGTCCATCAGCCCAGGCTCTCCCTTGACAAGAGGATGGCAGGGAGAGAGAAGACAGAGTCAGAGTCAGGAGCTCAAAGGGACCTCAGAAACCCTCCCTGGCTTAACCCCTCCTCTTCTCGAGCAGGAAACCACCCTGGGGAAGGGAAGGGATATGGCCAGGGTCTGGGGAGCAAAGTACTATGAGCTGAGATCCCACACTGATATCTGTTCTGATGATGTTCTGAATTGTCACTGTAGGAAAGGATCCTTTCGCTGGATGAGGGCCCCAAGCTAAAGTGGTTTCTTCCCAGATGACATTCTGAGAGTACTGAAATTACTAGTCCCAACCTTGGGGGCCCCATACCGCCAGGAACGCCACCCTCTGGTGCCCAGAGTCCTAATGACTGAGCTTCTGCCTGAGAAGAGGTGCTCGAACAGCTCAGATGCAGTCAAACTTTTGGGAGGCCGGAGGCCAATAAAAGAGCCTTTAGGGGGAGGACTCTGGCTTCTCGCCTCTGCCTGTGAGGGAGGCCAGCAGCAGGGAGAGGAAAGGTCTCATTAGCAACCTGGATTTCAGGCCCTCGGGAACTGGATACCCAGCCAGGTGGGCAGCGGCTGCGCTGGGTGTGGCCAGTCTGTGTTTCTTCTAAAGGATACAGAAGGAACAGGGGGACCCTGCCGGGCATCCCTGGGGCCTTCCTGACCACGTGCCGGTGTGTTGGGGGCTCAGGAGAGGAGCTTCCCCAGGGTGCGGTTGCATGTGCTTGGCTGGCTCCTGGGCACCATATGCAGACATGCCGAGGGCAGCAGCAGTGACTGTCCAAGTCCTCCAAGCAGGGGAACTGGCTGCTGAGAGACTTAGGAAAGGCAGCAGGAAGGGACAAGACAATGGGCCTTGCGTTTCTATGGAAACAGCACCTCAGGGTGAGGGGCTGAAGGGAGAGGAAGCCCCCTTTTGTGGTTGGGCTTGCCCCTCCCTCTGCCTTCCCTGCCAGGTGCTCACCATGGCAACCCTTCCTCCAAACAAGAGGTGCAAAGTGGCAGAGCAACTGGTGTTGGGGGAGCCAGGGAGCCCAGGAGGGAATGGGAGAGGGTGTGGCGGGGTGCGCGGGCATGCGCCCTGGCCGAGGTTTGAGCCCTGGCCCCACTGCCACTTACTGTGTCCCGGGACCACCTCACGCACTTGTCCGAGCCTCCACCAGCCCCCTCTGTGGCTGTCGTGAGGGCCAAGTGAGAGGGAAAGCGTCTAGTGAAGGGCCGGGCGGACGGAGGCGCCCCACAAATGCTTCCCAGCCACGTGGAAGAACGTCGCTGGCATTCGTGCCGTGCCCCAGATTTGCAGACACTCCCGGGCCTGTCCTAACTTTAAGAACCGCAGACTGAGCGTGTGGGTTCCCGCAGAAGGGCAGGGGCGTCAGCAGAGGGGAGGTGGCTGTGACCCTTATCCTCAAGCCACGATCAGGTCAGGTCAAAGCTGGGGGCGTGGGGCACACAGGAGTCCTGGAAGCACTCGGGCCGCGCAGGGCAAGGGCGCACCCACCCTCTGCTCCCTGGCCAGGTGGGAGGCCCGGCTCACTGCCGCAGTGAGAAACCCCAGTTCGGGGGCCCCCTCGACTCAGAGACGCTGCCCCGAGGAAAGGCACCGGTAGCGGTCCCGGTTGTCCCCAGCAGCCTCCGGAAAGGCCAGAGTGGAGCCGGCTCCAGAGAAAAGATAAAGGCCCAGACCTCTAGGGGACCCCGGAGAGACCCGCCAGCAGGAACGATCTCTCCCAAATGCAAGCAGCATGGCAAGCACCACTAATCAGATAAGCCCGGGGAAGAACCAAGTCAAACTATGTAAAACAGAAATGAGGAAAGTGGGTCAGGGCATTGGTGGGGCACAGGCGAGGGCGGGGTGTGTTTGCCCAGGTTGGGTCGTGATGACAGGTGACCTGGCAAGGAACACGTTTTCGAGAAGGAGCCCTAGACTCAGAGGCAGAGGTCAGGCCTGGGTGAGGCCACTCAGCTGCGCCGTGCCTGCTCCCCGACAGAGGGGAAAGCTGCCCAGCCTCCAGGACTGCTAAGGACGGCTCTCAGGCTGCTCCCCGGCCGCCACTGCTCTGAGCACTTTCTGTCCTCAGAACGGCTGAGCCAGGCAGCCGCCCTCCCGGCTTTCAGACAAGAGGGAGTGAACCCAGCCCCGCGGTGGGGGTGTGCTGCCTCCATGAGGCGGAGGCGGGCCAGGGCCCGGTGGGAACTGAGGACCACCTTGGCCTCAGAGCTCCGGCTCTCTGCATCCGGCAGGCTGCCTTTCCGCAGATCGGAGGCGCCGCTCCCGAGGGGGCCCGGAGGCCTGGGGAGCACGGGGCCGAGGGCGGAGGGCTCACCTGAGATGTCAGCGCTGGAGCCCTCGCTGGGCCTCTTCCCGGGCACAAACTCCACTTCCGCAAAGGTCTCGGTGGAGAGGGAGCTGGCCGTGCCGTTGGGCACCGGGGGCCGCTTGGCCCTGCGGCTGAAGAGCCTGGTGCTAAAGCGCTTGCCCTCCTTGGCCGCCGTGGCCTCCCCGTTGGCGGCTTCTCCCTTGCCGTTTCGGACAAGCGCCTCTCGGGGCTTGGGCTTCAGGTCCACGTGCAGGTGGGAGACCACCCTGCCGTCCTTCCGCAGCAGCTCCCCGGAGGGAATGGCCTCCACGGGGGGCAGCACCTGCTCCAGCGTGACCAGGTCGTTCAGGAAGCTCTCCAGGCGCCGGGCCGCCTCGCCGCCCCTGCCACCCTCCTCCTGCCCCTCGGGGTCGCCGCCCGCCTCCCGCTGCTGCCGGGCGGCCCAGCGCATCAACTCGCCCGGTGGGTGGCGGCTGCCCGCCACCAGGGCGTACTTGGGGTTGATCAGCTTGCGAGCCACGGTGGAGGAGTAGTTGGGGCCGAGCCTCCCGGCACCTCCTGCCAGGCTCAGCTGCTGGTACAAGTTCACCTCCTCGGAGATGGCGTACAGCTCCCGGAACTCCACGTCGAAGGGCTCCACGTTCTGCCCGGTCAGGAGGAGGAGAAGGTTCCTGTCCACGTGGGAGGAGCTCCAGGTGAACCTGGGAACGTGGGGACAGAGAAACACGACAGGTAGGCCCAGCCTGTGGCTTCGTCTTGCCAGCGGCCCCTTGGCAGTCCCTCTCAACACCCCCTGACTGCCCCCTGACCCAACCTGATCTACCACTGAGGCCGATGCCTTGCTGGCCGGTGGGAGACAGCTCCTGGCCTTCTCGCCGGGTGCCCCCCCTCCGCTGACCCACGTCCTCCCTCTTTTCCAGATCGTGGCCTCAAATGCAGAAAGCAGGCAAGGGCATGGGAAGTCAGGCCTGGATTCCAACCTGGTTTCTTTCTTTCTTTCTTTTTTTTCCTAGACACGTTTTTTAAATCAATTAATTAGTTAATTTATATTTTTAAGTTTATATCCAAGTTAATCAGCATGTAGTGCAATAATGATTTCAGGAGTAGAATCTGGTGACTGACTCCTTACATATAACACCCAGGGCTCAACCCAACCAGTGCAGCAAGCATCGTCCTTAATGCCCATTGCCCATTTAGCCCATCCCCCCACACACAACCCCTCCAGCAACCCTCAGTTTATTCTCTGTATTTGAGAGTCTCTTGTGTTTTGTCCCCTTCCCTGTTATTATATTATTTTTCCTTCCCTTATGCTCATCTGTTTTGTATCTTAAAATTCCACATACGAGTGAAGTCATATGATGTTTGTCTTTCTCTAATTTCACTTTGCATAATACCCTCTAGTTCCATCCACATAGTTGCAAATGGCAAGATTTCATTCTTTTTGATTGCCGAGTAATACTCCATCGTGTATATATACACCACATCTTCTTTATCCATTCATTCGTTGATGGACATTTGGGCTCTTTCCATACTTTGGCTATTGTCGATAGCCCTGCTATAAACACTGGGGTGCACGTGTGCCTTCGAAGCAGCACACCTGTAGCCCTTGGTTAAATACCTCGTAGTGCAATTGCTGGGTCATTGGAAGTAGTTCTATTTTTAACTTTTTGAGGAACCTCCACACGTTTTCCAGGGTGGCTGCACCACTTTGCATTCCCACCAACCTGGTTTCTACCCTTTTATGCCTTGTCATGTGGGGCTCATAGGGCGTACAGTCACAAAGGTGCTGGGAGGCTCAAGCGTGATACCATATATAAAACATTTAGCTCAGTCCCTGGCACACACATTTTGATCAGTAATGCAGCTGCTGCTACTGTTAATATCATTCCATTCCTTACTGGCTCCTCTCTAGGTTTTTATTTATTTTTTATTTTTTAAAGTTTTATTTATTTCTAGGAAAGAGAGAGAGAGAGTGAGAAAGAGACAGACAGCATGAGCAGGGGAGGGTCAGAGAGAGAGGGAGTCACAGACTGAAACAGGCTCTAGGCTCTGAGCTGGCAGTCAGCACAGAGCCCGACGTGGGGCTCGAACCCACGAACCGCGAGATTATGACCTAAGCGAAAGTCGGACGCTTAACCGACTAAGCCACTCAGGCGCCCCCTCTCTAGGTTTTTAGAGCACCTGGCACCTACAAACCCCTATACTTTAACCATGTAAGGGGACTTATGCCATTTGTTGATTGTTCCCTGTGCCCAGGTCTCTTCCCTCACCCAGATTTCAGTACACTTGGAGGGCAAAGACTGCTGAGATAACAGTCTCCCCTGTTCCTGGTAATTTACTTCTGAATCAGAATTTGGGAGACATTGCCTCCACACCACACCCTCATATTTCTTTCCTTTTTTTCTTTCTTTTTTTTTTTTTTTTTTGGTATGTGAAAAAAAATTTTAATGTTTATTTATTTTTGAGACAGAGACAGAACGTGAGTAGGGGAGGGGCAGAGAGAGAGGGAAGCACAGAATCAGAAGCAGGTTCCTGCTCAAACTCATGGGGCTCAAACTCATGACGGTGAGATCGTGACCTGAGCTGAAGACGGATGCTCAACCGACTGAGTCACCCAGGCACCCCCCACATGAAAATCTATTATTGTCACGTTTTCAGTGTCAGGACTTACGATCTTGCTCTTTCCTTCTTGCCTTTGCATTAAGGCCAAAAGAGACATATTGGCTACTCTGACAACCTTAAAGTGAACTCCAGGAATGTCACCGACAGTGTGACCTTTGCGACCAAATCCAGAACCTCATCACTTTCCTCAGTAAAATTCAAACAACCATCACTGGGTACAAAGGCTGTGATTATTTTGTCGTTCGTGATCAGCTGGACCCTGACACACTTCCTGATGGCAGAATTTGGCTATTTGGTTTCAACCCCTACTCTCCCCAGTATGATTCCCTTTATATGGGAAGCATCTCCAAAGGCTTGGCCTTCAGGGCTGTGCCCAAGTGGGCTTCCTTGTCCTGTTCACAACGCCACTTCTGATCTCGTTGGTGGCTACAGAGCTTCCTGGCCAAATGAAGACTGCAATGTTTACCCATCCTGCCGGCACCACGGGCCTGGGCAAAAGAGAGAGACCACACCCTCACATTTATTTCCCAAATCTGGTCCATTCTGCTTCCTGCTTGTCCCACCCAAAAACTAGCTTCAAAATGCAACCCTTTGCTGTGGACCATGAAAGGCAGGCCATTCTTGATGCCCAGTAAGAGTTGACCTTCTTTTTAGAATAATCCAGTATCCAGAAATTTTTATATTTGTTACCACAAATAAAGGCCTCCTGGGCCCTTCTCTGACCTGGCCCCCAACTCACCTGTAAGATCCAGTGGCCACTTTTTCACCATCTACCATTAGGAACTTTGATGACAGGGTCCCCTTGACCTTCCCCATGGGCATGTAGAAGCCAACACCTGTCACAGAGCGAACACGGATGTTCTGTTGGGAAGAGAAAGGCACTGTCACTCAGGCTTGGGCCTATGAGGCTTTGAGCCAAGTGATGTGTGGGCAGAGGAGGAACCCTCTTGTTCATGGAACCCTGCCTATTGGCTTCTGTCTATACTAGCCTCTACTTCCTATAGCCTTAGAGCTGGAACCCCATTTGAAGGGCAGGAGGAAGGGGCGCCTGGTGACTCAGTTGGTTAAGGGACCGACTTCGGCTCAGGTCATGATCTCGCAGTTCATGGGTTTGAGCCGCGTGTCAGGCTCTTTGCTGACAGCTCAGAGCCTGGAGCCTGCTTCGGGTTCTGTGTCTCCTTCTCTCTCTGCCCTTCCCCTGCTCATGCTCTGTCTCTCTGTGTCTCAAAAATAAATAAATGTTAAAAATTTAAAAAAAAAAAAAGAAGAGCAGGAGGAAGTTAGCAAACTTTGCTTTGAATATGGATGAGCCCATGGGGCGCCTGGGTGGCTTAGTCGGTTAAGCGTCCGACTTTCGCTTAGGTCATGATCTCGCGGTTCGTGGGTTCGAGCCCCGCGTCGGGCTCTGTGCTGACTGCCAGCTCAGAGCCTGGAGCCTGTTTCAGTCTGTGACTCCCTCTCTCTCTGACCCTCCCCTGCTCACGCTGTCTCTCTCTCTCTCCTAGAAATAAATAAAACATTAAAAAAAAAATAAATTGAATATGGATGAGCCCAGGTATAGTTCCTGCCAGCTCCAAAAGCTCCCCAGAAGAGAATCACGGCCCTAGCTTTGACCCTAACACTGACATTGTGGCGTGAGTGCCCCAGGACTGGGCCAAAGCTGCCTCTTTAGCCTCAATAGTCTTGAGATAAAATTTAAGCTGGGCATGTAATTTAGGGTTATCAATTCACAAGGCAAGGCTTTAGACAGAAAGAAAGGGGTTGAGGTCTTGATGTTCACCTGTGTCCCTGAACTGGGGAGGAGTAAGAGGAAGAGAGAGAGGCAGTCTCTATCTTACCTCCTGCCCTTCCTCCCCATCCTTCACCCCTACCCCAGTGGTACAACTTACTCGAATACGGTAGTCAGCAAGCTCCAGGCTCTGACACATCTCCAGGAAAAACTTCACACCTGCCTCATCCAGGATGATGTACACAGGGACCCGGCGCTTACACGCAGCATCTACGATGTCTTGGAAGATATCGCCATCAGTGAAGAGGTCCATGACCACAGCAATGACCTGGACGTGGAAGGGCACTGGTGAGGCACGTGGTGACTCCACATCTACAGTGATACGCTGTGGCTCAGAGAGCACCAGCTGGGCCTGAGGAACTGGGGCCAAGAGGCAAACACCCCATCTGCACCACTCTTGGGTTCTCCACGTGCCCACCACCTCTGAGCACATCTGAGCCCGGAGGTGGGCTCTCTGCTCTGGAAATGCCTGGTGGTCCAGGCTATGCTACTTGTACTTCATCCTTGACAAATCCCCACACCCCACCCTGGGCGGTCTCTGGCAGCTCTTCTGAAGCCAGTCAGGCCAATCTAGGAGGCTAGGAGACATGGTCCTAGTGCCCTAGGGAAACAAGTAGGCTGAAGAAGATGAGGTCACTGAGATGCACAGGAGGGACTCACTTCCACCAGCTGTAGATCTTTTCACATCCCCTTCCTTGCAGGCCTGGTTAGTTTTGATCTCCCTACAGCTGTGCAAAGTTCCATGTCCCCCTTGGTGCAGATCCAGGCGGAGCTCCAGTCAGCTCAAACTCCCCTGACCTCCAAGTGGCCAGGCCATGCTACATGCCCCTTAAGGTCAAGGTCACTGCCTAGGACTCTTGATTTCTAAAAGCCAGTCCTGGAAAGTGAGGCATTCTGCCTTTCTAACCTTAGGTTCCTCCATTTTCCTGTGCAGACGTTTCTCCCCCCCAGCTGCAGGGTTTTCTTGCTGGCCCCAAGAATCGTGTATGTGATGCGGGGAAAGGGTATACTTTGGGGTCAGGAGATCTGGTTATAATGAATTCCTATATATGTGACCTAAGGCAAGTCACTTAACCTTGGTGAGCCTCTGTTTCCTCATTTACAAAGTGGGTATACCCTGTACCCTGTATTTTATGCATTTGCCATAGAGATTAGAGATAACACCTATAAAGCATCAAATACAGTGCCTGGTATGTAGTAAGTCCTAAATAAATGGTAATCACTGTATGGTTGAGGGAGTCCATTAGTTGTAACTGAAAGCCTGAACTCTGAAGTCAGACAGGCTTAGAACAGGGCTAGTGCACCTGCTCTGCCACTGACGTATCAGTGACCCAGCTACCATGAGTGTCCCAGCTACTGTCTCAAAGGGTTGTTGTGAGGGCTTAGGGAGATGAACCACGAGAGCACTTAGCACAGTGCTGGCCCACGGAAAGCTCAATAAGTAAGTACCCTTCATCCTCACCACCTTCACACATGCGCTCTACCATTACCTCTGCCTCTAAAGACCCATTCCCCCCCACCCCCATCCCCACCACATCATTTACACAATATTATTTAAGACTATTCTTAGCTCCTACATTTCATACTCTGTCATCCATACCAGTTACCATTTACTGAGCTTCACAGGCAGAGGGAAGATCTAAAGACAAATTATAATCCCTAACTTCAAGGGGTTAATCCCCTTGAATGATAAGACATTTGCACAAAATAACTGAGACATGAGGCAAATTGAGACGACTGCCTGAAGAGATGTGCAAATGACATGTGATGTGAGTTCAAAGTTGGTGGGGGCGGGGGAGAAGGAGGGGCGGAGAGACAGAGGGAAAGAAAGAGATTGAATGATTACTTCTAGCTCAGGAAGAAGAAAGGCTTCATGAGGGGGCTGAAACCTGAAGAATGGGCAGCCTCGGGGACCATGAGAAATGAACAAGGAAGAAAACCAAGCAGGCAAGTGGGCAGGGCTGCTATGCACCAGTAGGCAGGTTGTGCACTGCACACGGGCTCTGCGCTAAGTGGGTGAGTGGAGGATGTGCCTGCCTGAGAAAGGGATGCCTTTTCCTAATCTGCACACAGCTTCCACATGGGCCAGCAGAAGCCTACAATGTGGGGATTTCAGGCAAAAAACACAGCATAAACAAAGGCACTGAGGACAGAGACTAACATGCACTGAACACTTTCCATGTGCCTCACACTGTTCCAGATGCTTTAGGTAAATTTTTTTTTAATGTTTGTTTACTTTTGAGAGAGAGAGAGAGAGAGAGAGCATGAACGGGGGAGGGGGAGAGAGAAAGGGAGACACAGAATCCGAAGCAGGCTCCAGGCTCTGAGCTGTCAGCATAGACCCCGACGCAGGGCTTGAACCCATGGATCGTGAGATCGTGCCCTGGAGCCAAAGTTGGATGCTTAGCCATCTGAGCCACCCAGGCGCCCCTCTTTAAATTTTCTAATTTGATCCTCACGACGAGGAGGATTGTTCTCGTTTTACAGATGAGGAAGTAAATGCAAAGGGGCTAAATCATGTGCCCAAGGTCATACAGTTAACATAGAGCAGAGCAGGGATTTGAACTCAAGTCTCTCTGACTCCAGAGTCTTCACTTCATTGCATCACACAGGCTTACAGAGATGGGACAGCTGTAAAGTATTTTTAGAAACATCACATCAAAAGCTAGTTCTTTAAAAAAATTTTTTTAATATTTATTTATTTATTTTTTTTTAATTTTTTTTTAATGTTTTTATTTATTTCTAGGAGAGAGAGAGAGACAGCGTGAGCAGGGGAGAGTCAGAGAGAGAGGGAGTCACAGACTGAAACAGGCTCCGGGCTCTGAGCTGGCAGTCAGCACAGAGCCCGACGCGGGGCTCGAACCCACGAACCGCGAGATCATGACCTAAGCGAAAGCCGGACGCTTAACCGACTAAGCCACCCAGGCGCCCCAATATTTATTTATTTTTGAGAGGCAGAGAGACACAGAGCATGAGTGGGGAGGGGCAGAGAGAGAGGGAGACACAGAATCTGAAGCAGGCTCCAGGCTCTGAGTTGTCAGCACAGAGCCCGACGCGGGGCTCGAACTCACAATACGTGAGATCATGACCTGAGCCTAAGTCGGATACTTAACCAACTGAGCCACCCGGGCGCCCCAAAAGCTGGTTCTTTAAAAAGACCAAATAAGATAGACAAACTTCTGACAAGACTAATGAAAACAGGAAATGCAAACAAAATCCTGAGTAAAAACAGAGAAATAACTACACACATATTTACTTTTTAAGAAATCATACTATTTAGGGGTGCCTGGGTGGCTCAGTCGGTTAAGCATACAACTTTGGCTCAGGTCATGATCTCACAGTTCATGGGTTCAAGCCCCGCATCGGGCTCTGTGCTGACAGCTAGCTCAGAGCCTGGAGCCTGTCTTTGGATTCTGTCGCCCTCTCTCTGACCCTCCCCTGCTCACACTCTCTCTCTCAAAAATAAATAAAACATTTAAAAAAATTAACAAAAAAGAAATCATACTATTTAAGAAACAGTAAAAAATGGTAAAAAGAATATTAGGACTATTTATCATTGATGAATTTGAAAATGAGAGTGATATGGTTAAGTCATTAAAAGAAAATGAAACATAAAACAGCACAATCCAGTAAGGTTTATCCTAGAAATGTAAGGATGACTCAACATCAGAAAATCTGTTGTTTTAATTTATAACATTTATGGGGTCAAGGAGGGGAAATCCTTTATTAATAGTTTTTTTAAAGTATTTGATAACATGAGATCCCTGCTTATGATTAAAATTCTCAAAAAACTAAGAACAGAAGGGACCTTCCTTAACTTGATAAAAGCTATTACAAAAAAGCCACATGAGACACACTGAACGGAAAAACTTTAGATGAATTCCCTTTAAGTCTCAAGAACATCAATAATACTTTCACCTCTTCTGTGGTGAAAAAAGTATTGGAGTCCTGACTAATGCAATATGATGGAAAGAAGGAAGAAAAGAAAGAAAGAGAGAAGAGACAAAGGAAGAAGGAGAGGGAGAAGAGATAGAAGGATTAGAAGAGACAAAACTACCAGCATTTGGAGATGATATTTTTACAGAAAATCCAGTAAAATGCAGAGGAACACTATTAGAATTAACAGGAGAATTTAACAAGATTTCCAGATACAAGAAAAACTTACAAAGACCAATAGCATTCTTCTGCTACAGTGACAATCAACTAAAAAAAGGGGGATGGGGAAAAAATAAGACCAAAAGTGCAATTTAGGGCATGTGGTCAGTCAGTTAAGCGTCTGACTTCGGCTCAGGTCATGATCTCATGGTTCATGAGTTTGAGCCCCACATCAGATTCTGCTGTCAGCGTAGAGCCTGCTTCAGATCCCATCTCTCCCTCTCTCTGCCCCTCTCCCTTCCCCACTCTCTCTCTCAAAAATAAACATTTTTTTAAAAGTACAGTTTAACCACATAGGATTTAAGAATTAATACCTTTATGGAGAACTTTAGAAAATTCTATTCAAGGATATTTTTAAAATAGTGAATGAATGAAGAGATAAATTGTGTTCATGGATAATATGATTCAATATTTGAAAAACTGAATTCTCCCCATGTTAATAAAATTCAATGCAATTCCAATGAAAGTTCAGTATTTTTGAGGAACTCAAATACTTCTAAGATGCAGAGAAGGCTAAAGATCTACAGTAGCTAAGTCAATTTTGAAAAAGAAAAGCTAAAAGGGCACACTTCTACTACCAGATAGTAAGGCATACTGCTGTGCTATAGTAATAAGCATTGTGGTGCTGAGGCAGGAAGAATTAAAAAACAGACCAATGGAACAAAACTGAGAGACTAGAAACAATCATTGTTATAAACACATAAAACTTTAAGTCTGATAGAGGTGGAATCACAAGTCAATGGAGAAAGGATATTGCTTAGCAGATGTTATTGGGAAATTGGCTTACTATGGAGAGAAAAAGTGCATCCCTGTCTTACATTATATATAAAGATGAATTTCAGCTAGGCTAAAGTACCAAAACGTGAAAGATAAAACTAATAAAGGAATCAATAAGATAGGTAAGAGTATTTTTTTTAAAGTTTTATTTATTTAAGTAATCTCCACACCCAACATGCAGCTCAAACTCACAACCCCAAGATCAAGAGTCTCATGCTCTTCTGACTGAATCAGCGAGGCTCCCCAAAAGTACTTCTTTAGAGTCTAAAAGCAGAAGTCATAGCCAAATAAAATTTTAAAAATAATGCATTTGACAAATTAGGGGTTTTCTGTTCA